TGCAGCCCACGTGCACTGCAGGTCCCTACACGCCGACCCAGCCTCCATCCCCTTCTTCCTGTTCCCCACCACTCGGTTTGCTATGTGATTTGGGAATTTAAAAACATCAGTTGTGACCACTTCATTTCTGGCCATTCTAGGAAGACAAGAGTCTCAATCACTGAAAAGATTTGTTTCCTCAAATACCAGTATCATTCAGGAAGTGCCCAGAAAGCCTCTTAGATTGAGCAGGCGGGGCAGGAACAAGGGGTCTTAGTTCTTGCAAGAGCCACTGCTCGGATGACACCAGGGATCAACTGCTCTTCAGAAAAGGAACCGGCTCGGAGGGGAGGGGGCACCAACGTGGGGCCCAGGCTGTTCCATGCCCAACACGCTGGCGTCTGGTGTTTTTCTTTAAGAACGACAGGGCACAGGTCCTGAGCTCCGAGATGAGCATCTGGCTGGGCTGTGGTCCTTCAGGCGAGAGATGGTCCTCGCTGAAGCATTTCTGGTCGGCAGCAGAGAAAGGCAGGCCGGGGAGTTTCAGGGAAGCTTGTCACCCATCAGTAGGGAAGGAGTGGGAGGAAGCTGCCCCTTGGGTATTGGTCTCACCAAATTCCTGAACTAGCTACTTTACTTCATTGTGGTCAAACGTACATAACATGAAACTTCCCATCTAAGTAATTCACACTGTCGTGCAACCATCCCCACCATCATCTCCAGAACCTTTTCATCTTCCCCTACTGAAACTCGGTCCCCATTAAATACAAGTCTCCATCCCACCCCGCATCGTGGCCCTTGACAACCACCATCCTACTTTCTGTGTCTATGGATCTGACTACTCGAGGTCCCACATGTAAGTGCGATCATACAGTATTTGTCCTTCTTGTAACTGGCTTATTTCTCTTAACATAATGTCTTCAAGGTTCATCCATGTTGTAGCATGTGTCAGAATTTCCCTCCCTTTTAAGGCTGAATAGTTTTCCACTGTATGGATGGACCACATTTCGTCTATGCATTCATCTGTCAATGGACACCTGGGTTGCCTTCACTGTTTGGCTATTGTGAATAATGCTGCCGTGAACACGGGTGTCCAATCTATTTGAGAACATGCTTTCAGTTCTTTTGGGTATATACCTAGAAGTGGAATTGCTGGATTATATGGTGATTCTATGTTCAATATTTTTTGAGAACCTGCCATATCGTTTTCCACAGCAGCTGCACCATTGTACATTCTCACCAGCAAAGCACGACGGTTCCAATTTCTCTACACCCTCACCAGCAGTTATTTTTCTCTCTCTCTTTTTTTTTTTTTTTTGATAACAGCCATCCTAATAGGTGTGATGTGCTACCTCACTGAAGTTTTGACTTGCATTTCCCTCATGATTAGAAATGTTGAGCATCTTTTCATGTGCTTATGGCCTATTTGTACATCTTCTTTGGAGAAATGTCTATTCAAGTCCTTTGCCCATTTTTTAATCGGGTTTCTTTTTGCTGTTGTTGAGTTGACTAGTTACCGTTTTAACTAACTCTTTAGCTGGCATTAAGAAACCAAAGATGTCATAAATCAGTGTGGGAGTTTTGGCCTCTCTGTGGATGCTGTCAACAAGGGGACAGTTTCAGCCAAGGTTGGGTAAAGGGAACACCTTTCTGTTTTGTGGACAGATTTTTAAAAAATCTGATTTGTGCTCTTAATTACCACTCTCCTTGGCTTGAATAAAACCCAAAAGACCTACAGGAACAACCATGGAGAAGCAGAAATTAAGGCCTAGATATCGCGCTGGCTCTGAAGTTTTTCTTTTCCAAGATGCTTTTCTCAAACAGCGGCCATTCACAATGACCAAAGGGGAAGAGCTTTTCAACACGAAGAATGATTTGTACCATGAAATCTCATTTGCTTCATGAAGTTACTCTGTTTGGCCCATGCTCTGAT